GCAAAGCGAGCAATGCTTTCGCTTTGATTGAACATCCCTGTTGAAAGTACTTTGCAGCCTGATTTTTTAGCTTAGATAAGCATGTTGCTCGTCTGTGTATTTCAGTTCCTGGAATAGATCACATAGCTTTTTTCACATGCAAATATGCGTAGCGTATATGACCCCTTTTGCTACCTGAATTGTGAGGCAAGTATTGCTCAGGGTTGTCACTTCACGCACAGTGAGCTCTCAGTTATTGCATAATCGTCATTATGAGCTGCGGTGATTCTCGCAACCAGTAAGTGCATGCAACAAAACAATATTTCATCTCGGCCACGTATCACTTATCTGCTTTGCTGGGAGACACCCTGTGATTATTATTCTCATTCATCGCCCACAAATGGCCGTCTCAAGTCCAATGCTGCATCTGCATGGACCCTACCCATTACGTTCAAGTGGTCATGACCCAATAAGAGACCTGTGTGCCGTTATGTGTGTTGAGTATGCATGAAACGTTCATGAAATGTTAGTGTCAGACACGACAAAAGCTATATAAGCTAATTGATGTAACGTTGCACCCAACATGCGGTGTGGAGACGGTGTGGCACCATACGTTGGTTCGTTCGTTGCCGCTTTTGATGGAATTAACAGTGGAGAGCCGTTGGAGAGCACACTGGTTCCTCTGAGAGCATATATATATATATATATATATATATATATATATATATATATATGAATATGCATTATTTGCCTTGTCATCGAACGAATGTCATGCGCAGGCATATAGAAAGCTAATGTAACCGGTTATCTCCAAAACTGTTGTCACCGATATCAAGCTACGACGAAATTGGTTCTGGCGTTAAGGGATTCCGCCTCGGATTGGAATCGGAGAGGACACAAAGGTGTGCCGTGCTGCTAAGAGTCTTAAGTCAGAATCAATGCCACGCGCTGCGAATCAACGTTAGAATCGACTCTGCCGAAGCAGAATCAAGCACAAGTATATTTACCACACCGAGCCCCTCCAGCGCTCTCCATCAGCGCTGATCTGGTGAATTGATAAGCACCTGCGACCCCAGTGAGCTCTTCTCGAGGGCCTGCGGCGGTCGCCTGGGTTGGCTCTGTCATGACACACGCCGCCGCGACGTGCGGGTCTCGCCCTCATCCCGCCGGCTGCTCCGCACAGCAGACGCCGCGCTGACGTCACCCGGTCACGCGACGGCCTCTGCGTCACGCCTGGCCTACGCGCGGGCGCATCCAACAACAAACAACAGTGGGTTTAATGGGTTGCTGGGCGTCCAGGATTGGAGAGCGGCGGAACTAAGGAAGACGTTTCGACTAGCAACGCTGTCGGGGCGCTATTGAGAAACTGTCTGACCAGGATATGCGTCACATAGTGACTATTCTGTGGAGTTGGTGATGACGGTTGAGAGCGAGAGCAAGCTGACCACTTTCATTATGTCACTCATTGCGTTCACAATGTCACAGGCCACTCACCAGGGCGAAGCACCCCGGTTTCCTCTCAGAGTGTCAGTGTGTCTGTTACTAGTTGAAAAGCATCCACTGGTCATGTAGCATCCCTGGTGAATGACAGGGTAACGATACGGTCTCCCGCGGTCGGTCCTCCGACTATCCGACGCGACCACACGTCCGTGGTCTGTGACTGGTCTACAGCCTGATCAGTCTGGTCAGTGTGGTCAGTCTGTCTGCCGGAAGTCTGACCTCGCGCGCACGGCCGCCTGGCGCCGGCAGAGACGCGCTGGTTCTTGCCTGGTGAGCCGCGGCGTCACCGCCCCCCCCCCCCCCTCCCCACCTGCCCGGGAGCCAGACGGTCACCCGGCACTTCTCGCCCGGCGCACCCCAGACTCCGCTCCGCGGTGAGCCAGCTCCAGCCGGCCGGGGACCGGCGCGGACCGGGCCGGTGTGTCAGGTCGGGTCGGTGGCGGCGCGAGCGGAATGCGACGGCCCCCGGCCGGTCTTCGAGCGCCACCGGTTCGGCTGGCCCGCGGCCGGCGCCGGCCGCCTCGTGCGCTGACCCACTTCCCGCCAGAGCCGGCCAACTACGCCCGGCCGTAAGGGCGTTGTCGGGCCGGCGATCGGCGGCGGAAGCGACCCTGCGGACGGCGGCAGATAGACGCGTGCGCCCCAATCGCAGTTCGGCTCGCAAACAGGTTCGGCGGCTGGCCGCGCTCGGAGGACGGCCGCGGCGGGGGTGCTGGTGCGGGCAGCTTCGGTGGCCGGCAGACAAATTGGCTTCACTGGGGGGGGGGGGGGGGAGGGGGATGTGAAATGAACTGGTGAACAGGAGGGCGCGCGGCTTGCTGTCTGGACCGAGAGCCACGGCGATGTTTGTTTTGCCGACTCGTGTTTTGCACTTTAACACTTGTCGAGGTTCGTTGTCGAGCGGTATTGCAGCCCGCAAGCGTCGGAGATCCAGAGACGTAGCCAGGTCTCCGCCCGGGAGAAGTGCCAATTGGGGAAGAGGAGCCTCTACATCCAAAGGGGCCCTGTAATCGTCGCTTGGGCACTATTCATTCTGGAGACTTTGCATACTCGAGAACCAATTTTGATGGCGCGGGCCTCGTCTGTTATCGTTAAAGGTGCCTTACGGGTGCCTTAGACTGCCAAAATACTGGGGTCGTCGCACCAGGAGGTGCGACGACTTCAGTGCGACGACCCCTCCACCTGAGGGGTAGAGGGCCGTGGTCCCAAAAGCGTCTCCCTTGACCACGCCACTGATGCGACCTGGCCTGCCCACACGTGCTAGCAGCAGATCCATTTTGCATCGGCGAGGGTTGCAAGGGTCTGGAGATCACGGGTGCAGTATTGTTCCAAAACTCAAGGACCGAAACCCGCTCGTACATGGAGTCTTCCAATGGACAACCGCGCCGCTCGTGCTGAGCTTTCACAAAACGCCGACGGCCGTGACCTGCCGCTCCTGCTCCCAAAGCTCCACTGGGGGGCAACGCCACCCACGACGGCGGCGTGCGGTCACAAAGCCGAGGGAAGCTGGCCACCATGACTCGTGCCGATCGTGTCAGTGCAGCGGACTTTCACAGGCGGCCGCACTGGCCGCGCCGCCAGCCCCGGGTGGCGGCGCGGTCCGCGGCGCCGCCGGACTGAGAGCTCCGCGGCGGCGTCTTTCTGTAGCGTGCGAGCGCGCCGGCCCAGGTTCGCAGGCGGCCGGCGGGTCCGTCAGCGGAAATCAGCACGACGGCGGCACGACGCCCCGGTGAATGGCATTGTCGCGCCGCCGCTGGGAAGGCGCGAGGAAATACCGGCCGCGCCGCTGTCGGCCGCCCGGCCGTCGGACGGCGGGTGCTAGCGCTGGGAGCTTCTTCGGGGTACATTTTGAGTTGGAAACGTATAAAAGGACATTGGAAATGCCGCCAGGTGCCTTTCTGGCCTAAGACCACGGTAAAAATGTTTTAGCACGTTAAGTTACCATCTTTTTTCTCCGTGGGTAGCCTCTATGTCTGACCCTGCAGCAGTGGTATGTCATGGCGTATGGGAGAGATTCAAAACACAACACTCGTCGAAGTGAGCATCCGACCATGTTTCATAATCAACGCTTCATCATGCATTCTAGTAATACCAATCCTATCCCGGGTAAGCTGCAGGCGCAATGAATGGGCTCAAGTGCCCCTGGCGGGAGTCCTACCCGAGCGCTCGTGATTCCCTGAATAGGGGTCCCCGAGCGGACAAAGTCGCGCATGCCGACTCTGGACGGACATGCATCAGAGCCGCAGTTTGACAGCCACCAAAGGCTTATGTATTAACCTCCCCACCGCCAGACCTGCGCGCCTCTAAATCTTTCCAGCTGGCTGGATGAATCTAAATGTGCGTGAGTCTGATGGTACGAAAATAGCGTGTAAGTCGTGTGCAGTGTGCATGTCTTAAATTGCGAGATAAGCCCTTGGCGTGAAACGCGGCATGCGCTTATGACTTGTTCATTAACCTGGTGCTGGCTCAAACAGGGTGACGTGCTTACCTCCGCACCACCCGCTTACACGCACTTTATCCCCCAGACTTAATCGTCTTATCTTTGCTAGGATGTGGTCGTACGTTGAGCCAATATCGCTGTAACCGCCATGATCGCGTACCGATAGCCTAGTGTTTACGCGGCTCGTCCGGAAAACCAAAGGTGCGGGTTCGATTTCCGCGGCACATACCATACCGTCCAGGGATGAGAGGCACGCAATGTCATATGGCCTCAGCAGCTTAGTGCGTGGTAAAGTCCCAATAACCCACTATGACCATGTCAGCTTCACCTCCTATGGCCATGTCAACGAAAGTAATAAATTTCCGGGTTCATTTCGTGTCTAAATGCGGCACGCCTACTGCGATGCGCTTGAGACGCTGATATAAAAAACGCATTATAGCTACTGTGTATGCTGTTAAGTAATAATTTGGCGTAAATGAGTGGAAAGCTAAAAACAAAATGGTGGTCGAATGTGTCCAAGGACTTGGAAGATTGGAGCCCTTTCATGGGCCATCTACTTTTGACTGAACACCAGTTGCCTTGCTTGGTTAGTCAAGTACCTTGCTTAGTGCTCATTTGAGTGCAGTTCCGATACATGAATTCGACAACCGTCGGTGAGGGAAATGACAAAGTTGCCCGTCTATCATGTGTACTTCATGCTTCCATGCTTCGATGTTTTAATGGTATCTTACCAAACCCCGCGGATATCCCTTCCGCGTCAGACTTCTGAACAGGAGTGCAAGGCCTAAAGTGATCTCCAGTCACCGCTTCGGAGGCACTGCGCGCGTGCTTCTAATGCTTCTCACGCCAATATGCCCGGACGAGTGGCGGGCGGGTTTGAGGAGGTGAAAACCCGACCTATGACCCACCACACCGGGGCCGTGATTTATCACCAGTTAAACAGCGGGAACCGCCGCCATCGATGGCCGCCTCTCCTTTTCAACGGCCAACAAGGAACGGAAACGGAGGCGGCGCTGCGTTGGATGCCTGGGCCGCAGCTACCGACCGTCAAAAGTAATGACAGTTTTTGTTGGTGTTCCAGATGCGAGCAGTTAGTGACGTCGGCAGTGCCTAGTGACGTCAGCAAACTTAGTGACGTCATCAGCGCAGACATGGAGTACGATAAGGTGAGTTTGCCATGCGGTGGCAGTGTGGCTGCGAGAGCAGAAGCGGGGCGGGGTCGGAGGTGGACGGCCCTCCTCCCCGTCATAAGTGCGATCTAACGTTGGGCGGTACATGGGCGGTGTTGAATAAAGCGCACTTGCTGTTTCGTTCCCTAAACTTAAAAATAACGGTTTTGTGAGGCAACGCTGCTGCTCTCTGAACTGAACCGACCGCGGACATCGCTGGGCCGGCTGTGGTAGGAAAGGACGAGCGAGATTTCACCGACTGGCAGGTTTCGTTCGACCCAAGACTGTTGCAGATTCGGTACATGACTGCATTGGACCATCGTGTCACTTATGGAGCGTCCTTCGTTCTCATCCTGGCATGATTTCATTCAGCTGACTGCTGGTGCCATTACGTGGCGTAATTTAGTTGAAAGGTATCACGTGATGACGTCATACCGTGATGAGCTCACTAACAACGGCGGCAGATGTCAGCTGTTGGAGGAGAGGCCTGATGCGCTTACGTTAGCCGGCAAACGACGTATTTCATGTTGTGACTAATTACCAACCATAGCCAATGCCTTGCGAAAGATGAGCGCCACAGTGCAGTGGCGTAATTCGCAATTCTCCGCTGCGGTTTCATTCATTCTCAAGACTGTGACAGCTTGCACATGCAAGGCCTAAGGGTCAGTGTTCTTGGAGCCGGTGCTGGCCCGCGTGCCGACCGTGCTGGTGCCCGGCCTCTCCAGGGTTGGCCGGATCTGCGAGCATTTCGCATGCTGCCCACCGGCGTTGAGTACTCAACATTGGATCTATCATACTTGACGTGAGCAAGACACGCTCTGAGATCCTGCTTTGCATGGGCGCCATATGACCATCGTAGTCGGTGTGTCCCAAAACCCAAATCATCATCATCATCCTGCTTTTCCGGCAGTGAGTCGAGATGTCTTTTCTAGCAATCATCAAGGTAGCCGATAAAACCAACGCTTTCTTGACTAGGTCGCTTAAACAGTACCTTTTGGTATAATGGAAGCCGCTTACTTACAGCATAAAATCTCCCATCTCACAATGTGTCCTATGTCAAGAGAGTCTGAAATCATGACACCTAGACACCTAGACACCATGACACCTAGACACCATAGACACCTAGAAGCACGCCTGGTAAAAGACTCCCTCCGAAATCGTGCAGTTGTAGAGTTCACGGGAATCAGCAGTGAGATGTTACGACCCAGGCAGGCATTGGACGTTCCCCGACGACACTGATCTATTATCATCCTCAAGTTGGGTTGGTGTCATCCCAGGGTTGTAAATTATTCGGCACGTGACGTCACCCACTTAAGTACTCCACGTACAAGAAAAGACTTAGGCAAAACTTTTAAAGCTTGACAAATAACTCGGTTCTGGCGACAGACACTGGGAGGGGATTACGTACATCCAAAACGCCATTTTAAGCCAGCTCCTTCTCGTACACTGTCTTATTGTTACATAATGTTACAGTTTATTAGGTATGACTGTTGCCCCCTCGCCTCCGCCGCCACCTCCCAGCCTCGCTTTCTACTTGCTGCAGCGCTGCTTCTCGGCTCGTCTCTGCGGCCGTGATTTCAGATGCGCTGCCCAGAACGGGTGGCGCGCGAAGCAGACCATGCCATTTTGGAAATCCGGGAGACCAGCCATTCATTCATGTACCTGTCAACGGCGCGTGTAGGCATCGCGAGAACATGCAAGCCGTTTTCAACAGATCCAACACGTAATAAGTTCGGTCGTTGGACTGCGCCACTCCTAAACACCTACGAGGCGGCAGTATCACTTCGTCACTAGCGACGCCCTCAAACCTCCCCGGATCCACGTCCTGGACGCGCCTTTGCGCGCGCACGTGCTTCTTGGGCTGGCGCACCTGCGGTGCGGAGATGGCGCGGCCCGGTCGGAGGCATTGGTAGTCAGGCGAGTGCGTCAGTGGCAGTTTCTCCTCGCGAGCCGCCGTTAGCCGGCAGTAAAATGGGGTCGAGGTACGTCGGTCAGACGGGAAGGACAGCGGCTGTGGACAGTCAGATCGTTTTCCCTGGCCAACGGCAGTGTTTCTGCGCACACAAGCGAGTGGCGGTGTTGCAAAACCTGCAGAAGCAGGCGGTGGGATGCGCGCATGGCGGCAAGTATATCGTGTCGGGAATGAGCGCTTTGCTTGACAGAAATGGATGAATCTCGCAGTTCCTAAGTGTTGAAACTGTATTGCACAGGCGTAAGCTGTGCTGCAGGACATGCATGCGAGCCCCTCAAGATTTGAGAACCTCACACGTTGTAGGTAAAGGCTTATGCAAAACACAATCTGCTCGCACCGGGACAATGCGACCGAACCGTTAGGCTCCTGTTCATCATGACTGAGTGCAGTAACGGGTGTTACCAAAAACCCACCAGCAGTTAGGCATTCATCCAACGGTGTTCTTTTCAACTTATGCTTTGCCCATTTCCCAAAGACGATTTATATGGCGCATGACTTCCTGGACAAATGAGACCAGCAGCAGCATCTCCTATACAGTAGACGAGGGCTGATGGTTATGGCACGAGGATGACTCGGTTTATTGGCCGAATGCCAAGCGCCGATGCCATTCCAATAGATGATAAATGACCACTGCCAATTTGTCATCGTCGCTTCAGCCATTATTCACTTCTGTGGTTTGTTACGCTTTTATAAACAAGGTTTGAGTTTATGGTTAAGGATATGCCTACCATGAACACGCTCTTAAATTCATATTTGCTTTCTGTGAGGTTCTATCACATGCCTTACCAGCAATGCTGTCTTTACTATTTGCTGAAAAGACGTAAGAACTTTTCGCTCCAGTGATTTGCGAAATGACAGACTCGTGATCATGTCATGTCCATTATAAAGCTGCATTCGCTCATGTCCGTGTCCGTGGCCCAGAGCCGGCGTCGAGTGCATAATTGTTCAAGACTGGAGGTCGGAGAAGCTCATCTCAGGCCGGAAAGCATCCCAGGATGCTACAATGCAGAAGGATACTCACCTTTTATCTCTTGACGAAAGTTTTATGCGCTCTTCTTGTCCCTGGCCAAATCACCGGTCCGCACCGCCACCAGCAGACAGCACCATCACCGCCGGTCCACACCACCACCACCGGCTCGGACCACCACAAGCGGCCGGCACCACCACCAGCGGGCCGCACCACCACCAGCGGTCCGGCACCACCACCAGCGGCCGGCACCACCACCAGCGGCCTGCACCATCACCAGCGGCCTGCACCACCACCAGCGGCCTGCACCATCACCAGCGGGCCTGCACCACCACCAGCGGCCGGCACCACCACCACCGGCTCGCACCACCACCAGCGGCCGGCACCACCACCACCGGCTCGCACCTCCACCAGCGGCCGGCACCACCACCAGCGGCTGGTACCATCACCAGCGGGCCGCACCAGACCCGTGCCACCCCAGCGTCCCCTCCCGTGCTGCGGATGATCCCGGTTGGGCGCCCGACCGTGGCAGCCACCCGCGCGCGGAAGGTCGCGGGGCAGGCGGGGGGGGGGGGGGGGGGCACGGTCCCCGCTGGTAGGGGCACAATCGGAGCGGAAGTCGACCGAGACGTCGGCGACCAGAATAGGGAGCGGATAGGAGCAAGCTTGAATGCCCTTTTTCTCTGATCTACCCTCTAGAACCACTGGGAACGTAGCGCGTTGGCAAGACGGATGCCCCCAACATATCCTTAGGCATTTTGTGGAACAAGAGCAGCTTGCGTCTTCTCTCAAAGTATCTGTTACAAGGTTGTGGAAAATAATTATACTGAATAGGTAAACATTTTACAAAAGACTTCAAGTTGTATTCCTTTTGTGTATAAAACGCCTGAATTAGCTGAAAGAAATCAACTTTATTGCCCATCACGAACGGAGGAAAACGCTGTCGTGTCCCCTCGCTGGTAGGTGAGAGCACGCCTTGAACCAAACGCCACAACGGAGCTTGGTCGGGACCAATCAAAAGTATGGCTGAAGGAACTGGGTCACCATATCTACAGCTCGCCTTTTCTTCTTCATCTTCGACGCAGAACTGGGTGACACGACAATGAGTAGGACCTCGCCTCGTCACTGGCCCACACCAATGCTAGCTGTGATCGACTTATTTAGGCTCTGCTGAGTAAGCAGTTTGTGTTGTCCCAGTCTTCCAAATTTAAGCGTCAAAACGTCCAGCGGTGAACTGTAGCACTTTTGCATCGGTGGCGGGGTGTCCGGCACACGAAACCAGAGGAGTTAGGGGCATTAACTCTGGTGATGGTTTTGACGGGCTGGTAACCATCATTCTTGGCACCGGCCACTTTCAGTTATATCTTCATGGTGCATCACATCACTATCGAACTCATTTAAACGGTGCCAAAAAACGGGGTGCTAATTGCTGTATATATGTACTCTACTATTCTAATTTAGTTTATTTCACATTTCTTAGCAAGGAGCAACGTGGCTTTGCCACTCAGTCCAAATATTTCTCCTCGTCGTTTTTGCCGCGGCTGGACAGGGGGGGGGGGGGGGGGCGCTCCTTGTCGTCTATTCATAGATATTTGTGTAGGCATAAAAAAGATAACGAAAAATTATCTCGCAGTCGCTTAACCGATGCAGCATAACGTACACTACGTCCAAGCTGTGAATTGAGCCTCTGGTTTGGGGAGGAATGCTACCGAAATACTCGCACTCCACTGCACGAATTCGTGTCCGTCTACTTCCCAGCCTTTGGGACCTCCCCATGCCGTTGCACTGCTGCTCATGCGCAATGCACGTCTCTGCTCCGGTCTCTGAAGATCTCATGTCTCCATCCAATCTCGCCCTCCCCACCTCCCGTTCGCGCCTTTCTCCACTTGCATCACTTGCAAAGGCCACTGCAGTCCGCACCGCAGAGCCAGCCGCCTGGGAGCCGGAGCCCACATCAGCACCAACCTTGGTCAGCCGCCTCCTGTCTGCAATCAGCTGGTGTTTTCACTGACCCAGAACCGGTGGGTGTATCGTTGCACGTCTGCAGCCATTGCGTCT